ATATATATCGTTACAAACAGAACTGCCTGGTAAACCGTAGGTAGAGAGAGAGAAGAGGACAACAAACGAGTATACATATATATATATATATACATATATATATATATACAAAGAATATATAACTGTTCTCATGTATGGAAAAAAAAAAAAAACATAAGCAAAAAAACACTAATTTTTTTTTTTTGAATTAAAAGAGAGGACAAAGCAAGGACACGATATGCAACATGTTGAACTTCGTGTTGACAGTGGCAATTGGTTAATCTGAGGGATGTGTTGATTGGTTTTCCAATAGTTGGCTTATGCACGGTCCTTCCTTTCCCCTTGTACTTGGTCTTAGTGTATTGTTTTTGCTTTGTGGCCGTGCAAGGTCCGGTTTCCTCCTCCTTGTCTTCACCTCTTTGCGTTTTCTCTTGTCCATGTGTGTCATTGTGACAAACGGGGATGGGGGCACTCAGCGTTCGATCTGTCATCCACATCGCTGCCCTTGTACGCAGGAGGTGATGCACAGGTGGGGCTTTCCTCCATCGTTTCGTTGTCTGTCCCTTCATTGGGTTGCTTTTGCCCGGCTTTGCGCTACGATTCACAGTGCGACATGCATACATATATATATATATAATCACTAACAGAACTGCCCGGTAAACCGTACACAGCGAGGGAGAGCAGGACAACAGAACATCAAGTGCGACAAACTGATTCGTCGGACTTTCATATATATATATATATATATGGTGATAGTCTACTTTGATATATATATGCATATGACAAACAGATGCAGTAACGGGTGGGGAGATATCAAAATTCCCCCCACTCGGTCTACCAAAAGATCCTTCAATGAATTGTTCGGTGGGCCGTAAAAGGATAAACCAATCAATGCATCAACCAAACAATCAATCAATCAACCAATCAACCAATCAATCAATCAATCAATCGGTAAGACAGTGACACCCTCACGAAGCAATCATTCAATCAATCAGTCAATTGATCAATCAATCAAACAATCAAACAATCAAACAATCAAACAATGAGTGTGACATTGTGACGAAGTGACAATTGACCAAACAATGATATTGTCTATCGAACGATAAAACAATTGACGTTCACGATGAACGCAGATATTGCGGAGTCATAAATTAAAA